GGGGGAGCCGCTGTGGCCCCTCGCGCGGCCCAGGCTGCCCAGCCGCCGAAACGCCCAGGGACACTGCAAAACAGCTCTTGAGAAGCGCCTGGCTCTGTTTCCAAAAGTGCTGGTCTTGGTAGGGGGGGTCAGCAATTAGTCTACATATAGGTACAGGGAGCCCCAAGGCTGGCACGGGCAGCCGGATGGGAGGGCTGGTGGCCACCCTTCCCGAGTGTGAGCACCACGGTGAGGATTGGCACGCTAACATTTTCCAGCAAAAGTCTCATTTTTTTCCAATAAACCAGTTTCTTAAAACGGGAAAGGGTAAATTTTCCCTCATGCCATAGTTTCCCAGCAACATCACCCACAGTCCGCAGCCAGGACATGCCTGGCACCCAAGTGCAAGTACAGAGGGAGCAAGGAGCAACCCTGCAGCATTGGTGCAATATGTAGGGACAGCTCTTGCATGGAAGCCCACCACACTGCTCGCCAGAAGCCCAAGCACAGACTCGCTGCTTTCCTAACGGCAGAACTTGTCCTTAAATCCCCTGCAAATGGAAAAGTGATCCACAGATCTGGTCTGTGCTGTTGTCTTTCTGCATCTCAGCCTGCTCACAGAGGCTCTGGCTGCCCCTGTGATCCTGCAGCCAGACATGGCCACGGGCCCTCTTGAGCCTCCCAAGAGGTTCAAGGCTGGCCGGAAGGCCGGACTGGAAGAACCACCCGTGCGGGGGCCGGTGCATGGGCTGGACCCGTGCCCAACCACAACTGGGGACCTTGCTGCAGTGGCCCCGCAGGGGCTGTTTTCATCAGCCTCTTCCTCACCACTTCAAACAGGAGAAAGGAGGTTTTGGCACCTCCTCAGACCTGTCTGGGCTGCTTGGGAGAGCTAAAGGGGTTAAACGGGCTCTGCTGTGCTGCTCCGGGGCTGGGGCTGGCGTGGGGAATGCCCCCAGGAAGTGCCTGCTTGTCTGCCAAGCAGGTTTCACAGGGGGTTCCTCCGCATGGAGGCTCCATGCTTGGAGAGGCCACATTCACTTCGGTGGCCCAGGGACGTGGCAGGTTCTCAGGTGAGCCACTGGGCACCAGAGACCCCAGCATGTGCCAGGCACGTGAGGCACGGCCATTTCTCCTGTGCCTACAGAGGCACCTTGGGGTGTTTTGAGACTTGGGCCTCCAATGCCTCAGTCCTTCTCAAAGCAGGGCAGTTGCGAGGTCACCAAGGCAGGACATGGTCTCCCACATGTCAGGGTGGCCCAAGGGAGCGTCGCCCCATGGGGCCAGCGCAGGAAGGGCAGGGAGGCACCAGGATGAGTGGTGAGGCCGAGGCCGGCACAGAGGTGGACCTTGTCCCATGCCTCCAGGCAACTGCTCGGATGTGGAGAGCCCTGTGGTGCCAGTCCAGCAGCACCTGCCTTGCAGAGGGGGACACTTCTATCCCCTGTCCAGGTGCCGGCACCAAGCGAGGGAAGAAGTCAAACGCTCCCAGCCCTCAGGGCTGAAAAGGAACCAGGACCAGGCAGTGAAACAGCAGAGAGACCGAGGCTGAACTTTTGTTTCTTTTCGGCTTGTCTTACCGTTTTGCAGAAGCTGGGCTGGGGATTTCGGCGCAGGGCGCCGAGGGCTGGGGATCAGCCTTGCCACAGCCCCGGCAGCACTTCAAGGGGCCTGAATCCACTCCTTACAGAGAGCCCTCCTTGACCCAAATCGACCCTGCAGCAGAGCCATTTCTCCGGACAGAGCGGGGGAAGCTGACGGCAGAGGGGGGTTCAGGTGGGGCTGCCTCCCAGGCCACATCGCAGGGGCTGAACTCCGTTGATCAGCCACTTTGCCAAACAGCAGTTTCCTCTGGTGCTCGCTCCCGGGCTTTTTTGGGGAAGGGGGGACACCTTGACCAAGCTGAGTGGGGCCGGGTTCTGGTTTTGCAGGGCTGTCGTCCGTCCTTCCCCCCCTTGCTGGGCAGAGAAGAGCCTGAAAACCCGGAAAGAGGGAGGAAGGAGGAAAAAAAAAATAAAGAAAAAAGCAGCGCGCGCAGTGTGCAAAGCGCCCTCGTGATTTTTTTAATTGTGTTTATTCCTCCCCTCCTGGAGGCTGAGTCACGGGCTGGGGCCGGTGTGCAGGGAGGCGGGCGCCCCGGCCGGGTTCAGGGTTTCCCGAGCGCCTCCCCCGATCACATGACGCCGAGTTGCAATTTTAGACTGTCAGCTGACCTGAAAATCTCTGGATAAGGGGGGTGCCTGTCGCGCGCTCGGCCCTTCCTTCAAAAACCCCTGGGGCGGCAGCGAGGGCCGGGCGTTGCACTGTCGGCGGGTTCGGCACCGCGGGGCCCCCCGGGGGCC